CAAGCACATAAAATCCCATAGATAATAATTTTTATTTCATGACAGCTCTAAAAACAGCAGCTCTCAATCTTCAAAGCTGGATGAGAGCTTTAGGCTTTGGCAAGTTGTCCGTTAGTTCCACACACACACATATATATATATATATATATATATATATATATATCTCCGAATGGAATTTCCAGGAGGATATAGATCCAGGGAGCGCTCTAGGTCAAAAGACAGACCAAAATTATCATTAATTAAAATTATTATTAATTAAAGAATATCAAACACTAAAATCGCGTGGGTAATTCTTTTTTTCATGAGAGCTCTAAAAACAACAGTTTTCAATCTTCAAAAACTACAAATAAATCATGGTGATTTCTTTTAATCCTTTCAAATTAGATTTAAGGTTAGGGTTATAAAGGGTGCGGCAGAAATATCTCCTAGATAATGACATGACATTAGTTAGATGAACTCACCACTCCCACTAAAGTCTTACCATTATGTGGCATGTATTTCTGTCGCTAGCTGTTTGTTTTTTTTTGTTTTTTTTTTTTGCAAACACGTGCACACACAAAATTTATAAAATTAAATTTATACTTTTTTCTTTCCTGTGTATATATTTTTTATTTGATCCCTCCTTAATAACATATCTCTACCCTTATCCACTATAAATTTAGAAACTAGATCTATCAGTCAGTTATATGCGATGTGTGATAGACGCTTAGGCGATCATGTATTTTTCTATACATGACTGACGAGGCAGATCTTTTTTTCCCGCAGTATGTTGGCATTTCTTTCTACGGTAGACCAGTTGCCATCCAAGGCTATAGAACCTGGTCTGTCCTGCTATTTACCCATAGCTAGTGGAGAAGAAAAGGATTCATACCTTTCCCAAAGATATTTGCACATAAGTGAATGTAATGGATACGACTGGAATTCGAACTCATTACACCACCGTTTGCTAATTTTCATATTCACAGCATGTAATCCTTTATCATATTTTCCCCATGCTACTCAAGGGTTGCAGTCTAAATGATAATGATGAATGATGTGTGTCACATGAATGCAATTGATTGATTATTTTTTACGTCTTATCACCCCTTTTTGGTTTATTTAAAGCCAAAAAGTACTTTTTGAATTGTAAGAATAATTCTTTTTTGTGAGTGAATATTGCGTTAATATTTTGAGAATGACAATTTTTCATTATAAAAGTCTTATTATTTAACCCATAGCTGGGGGAGGATATGGATTCGTACCTTTCCAAGTCTATTTCCACATACGTGAATATAACGAACCCGACTGAAATTCAAATCCGGCTCTCCGAGATATGAATGAAAGATGTTAATAAGTTAAGATTAGGAGGATAGATCAAGAGTTGACGAGGTTAGGATTGAAGTGCCCAGGAAAGGTTTTTGAGGGAGAACTGTCTTCTTATTTTTGGAACACGGGGGAAATGAAGATGATTCAACTCTTTGGATGTCTCATAACCTGTCCTAGTTGTAAAAATTTCTGAAATGAATGTGATTCAACTCCAACTATAGAATGGAACACAAATGGACATTTCGCATAGAAATACCGACAGAGTAGTGACGGGCGCGCAAAGTTTAGTCTTTGGGAAAGAAATTGTAAAGGGGGGGGAAGTAGGTCTCTCCCAAGAGACTGATGCAAGATTCTGAAAGGTTTTTGGTGAGGTGGATTAAAAGAAAAGTTCCGAAATTCAGAACGACCGGTTTTCCCGGGGTCTTCTCCATGTTTTTTTTTTTTTTTTTTTAATTAAGAGTTGGTCTTCTTCTAGAGTGGCTGTCAGCCAAGACTAGAGGACACAGTCGAATTATTTCTTACTTTATGATATTCTTTTCTAATAGTTTCTTTTCTTACACTTCTCGCCTGTAAAGCTCTCTTTCGTTTTTATTACTTCCCTGCCACCTACAATCTTCAGAAATTGTTCAAATGAAACGCCACTCGCCATTTTCTGTCTTCCAGAAACCTGTCCTTTTATTGTCTTTTTCTCTCACTAACATCTTACTCTCGTCCATTCCCAGTAACCCCTTACCTCTTAATGGTATTATCGTCTGCTTGCGGTGAAATGATTGAATAAAAAAGAAAAGAAATTTTTAAGTGTTAAATGATATCTGTTGATGGTCGTGTATCTATTACAATATGACCGAGGAACGTTACACGTACCTATTTTGTTTATGGCGAACAAGACACTCCTTATTAGACTTTCTTTCATCTTTATTGCAATTCTCAGATCTTTATTCTATGGCCTTTAAATAAGTAACATGGATCGTGACTAAAGAACGAGTTAGAATTTGTATTTACTCAACCCACCACGAGGTCAGGTTGTGACACAAGGTCGGTTTAATGTGGCGAGCCCGAACGCATACACCCGGGCAAGAAACAAAACTTCCCCGAGCCCCCGCAAGCGTCGGTTGCGCTGGCCTCGGTGCGTGCACCAATCCTTCTCTCTAGTGCAATGAAAAGGTGCGGCCACGGGCAGCTGTTCCCCAGGGCCGGCACCTCTCAGTATAATTTTTCTCAGTTGCGACCCTGTCTCTTGACGGATCCGCTCCTGAGCGCACTCTACCCAAAGACAGAGACCCAACTGAGAGATGATAAATGAACTCCAACGAGGAATTTAAACGTTTAGAATTAAACATGTATTCTTTATCTTGGAATTCTGTTTTTCTCCGAGGAATTGGCAAGCGTTATATCCCAGCTAACACAGAAAGGTCTTGTAATTTTGCAAACAACCGATTTTTTCTTAATTCCAAAACACACCGTTAATCCCCAAAGTTGCCACAACGTTGTGTGTTCTTAATTTTGTCGACTGCACAGTATAGTAGGGTCAGTTGGGCGCCGTCTCTGAAACAGAGCACCATGATGCAATTCATTCCGCCAGAAATTTGGAAACGGCATGCTGTGCTGCTTGGCATTCTCACCGGAAGCTCCAATACGAACATTTCAGAGTGCTTGGGTGTCAATCTGAGGACAGTGTAGAGGATTCGGAAAGAGTTGGATGAGTCTAATGGTGATTTCGAAGGTGCAGCAGCTCGAAAAACTCACTCTGATCGTTCTGGTAAGAAAATACCTCACGGATCTGTTGAGGAGGCAGTGCTGCCCTGGATCAAGCGGATGGATTGCTGGAAGTCCCTATGTCTGGCAACAGAACGCTGCACCATGCTACATAAGCACGAGAACGCAGACATGGCTGCCAGGCAATTTATGCAACCACATCACCCCTTACATCTGGCCACCTAACTCCCCAGACTGCTACCTCCTTGATTATTATGTGTGGGGTAAAGTTGAGCAAGAGACCAAAAAACTCCTTGTAATACCAAAGATGAACTGAAGGCAAAGATTATGACATATTCGCCAACTTGAACGAGGAGACCGTCCAGAAGTGTTGCAGGAGATCCCCAAGTAGTCTGGAGGCCGCGGTTGAAGCCAATGGCGATTTTATTGAATAAATTTACTCTTTAGTATTTCAAGATATTTTTGTGTAATTTTGGTAAATATATCTGTTAAAATGAGATTTCAGTGTTATTTTCATTTTTGTGTAATTTAAACGACAATTTATCCACCGCGCAATGTATAGACAGGCAGACATAAAAACAGATCTATTTGTGTATATTTCTGAGATGAGGCATTATAACTATTTTTACACTATTTACAGTGTTCGGGCTGTCGTCATTATCTTTGTTGTCATATCCATGACGTTTCGGCCGTTATATGCTCCGGCGTTCTTCAGGTGATTTGAATTTCGAACCGAACCCTTGATTTCGTCTTCCAGGGTAGACTGTTCTAGTTCCACGTGCCTTTCCTCTCCCGAGTATCTCACGTTTAGTTTTTTCCCTTTAATTCAACTCTCCAAGTTTTTGGTGCCAGTCTTTATTTCCTCACATGGCACAGTGGATAAAAGCATTGGAGTAATCCAGTGACTTGACCCAAAGAGTTGTGAGTTCGATACCTGGCCACAGCAGAGGTGAAGAAAACATTTGGAGAATTGAGTTAAAGGAGAATGACTGAAACTGAGAAATCAAGAAGATGAATGTTACGTGGAACAATTTAACCCAGTAATAGAGGGGTCGGTTCGAAATTCCAATCACCTGAAGCAGGCCGGACCATATAACCGCCGAAACGTAAAAAGATGGTAAAAATTCAACATGCCTTTAAATGTTGTCATAGTTCCGACCGCTCCGTTCAGGCCTTCAGGTGAATGGAATCTCGAACTGAACCCTTGATTTCGTCCTCCAGGGTAGACTGTTCGAGTTCCACGTGCCTTGCCTCTTCCAGATATCTCAGTTTCAATTATTTCTCTTTAGTAACATCAACTCTCTAGGTTTCTGTTCACTTCTGCTGTGGAACTAAAACCCTGGTGGATGAAATAAAGAATTCGGCTCAAAATTTCAATTACCTGAAGAAGGCCTGAACGTACAATGGCCAAAACGTCGTGGACATAACAAAGATGAGGGCACTAGTCCAAACAATGTAAACAGTTTAAATATATATATCTATTTTTATTCAAAATAAATCTTTTTGCAAAATTAAAAAAAAAGTCTATTTTCATATCCAGATCTCAAAATAACAATTTCAAACTTGATATTTATACAAACTAATTTCTGATAACTTTTTAAAAAGTTAATGATCGATTTTATACTGCATCGATATAAATAACAAGTCAATATTTTTTTATTCTAACAAGTGACGCAGATTAACGAAGGTCTTCCTTCATTCGGTGTCATGCGTGATGTGTCAATTATGTCTCCTTTTTGATTCATGATTGACTTAATAGAAGAATTACCGCAGTAGGCTACCGTTATTTTCTGCAGTAGACTGGTTACCAAACAAGGCTGTAGGGTCCAGTCTTTCCTACAGTTTAATCCTTGACTTAGAAGAGCTGGGTTCATGCCTTTTGCATTTGTATTTGTGCATAAGGGACTGTAAAGGACTCGACTGGAATTTGAACTCAGCAATCCAAGTTCTCATTCCATTACAACACCTAGGCATCCGTGCTTGCAGCGGCTGGTATTCCCAAGCGGTCACCCATCTAGGCACTGAACAGGTTCAACGTTGCTTAACTTCAGTGATCTGACGAGAACCGCTGTTTCAACGTGATATGGCCGTAAGGTGTAAAGAAGGCTAATATACAAAAATGATTTCCAAAATTTGTTTCCCTAATTTTTTTTTTTTTACGAGTGGACCAATCGCTTTAAGTAGTGCACTTTGTAGCTTTTATAAATCAGCTACGCTAATATAAGTGGTGACGTTTATTATTTTAGTGAGGAGATTTTCCGACCCTCCACCCCGAGTTTATTAAGACCACCCAACCGCACCCGCGTTCTTTCTCTTCCCCCTCCTCTCTGTCTAGAGTCATAGCGTGATAGAGTCTACAGCAGTATTTCTTAAACTATGGAATAATTTAATTCGACAAAGTGTTATGAAGGGCTTACCACCATATCACGTTGAAACACAGGTTCCTGTACGATCACTGAAGTTAAGCAACGTTGAGCCTTGTCAATACCTAGATGGGTGACTGCTTGGAAATATGCTTGGATATGCGGGTACTGTAATGGACAACGGCTCGGAATTCTTAATCGGACAACCGAATTCCAATTCCAGGCGAATTCTTTATATCCACTTAGGGGATTTGGGAAATGTATGAATCCACATCTTCTCCCCTCCCATCTATGGGTTAATTAGTAAGACTTGTATCAGTAAATCATTATTATCTCTAAAAAATTCTTACCATCTAAAAATATTTTAAGGTTTTAAATAAGAACATGCCAAAGGTTGATAAACCGTAAAAAAGTCAATAAGAACAAGAATCAATTCAACCCTTGCACTTATTGATTACATTCGTACATTTGTTTTAGTCAAAATCTTATATTGTCAGTGTCCTCTTCTCTCCCTCCAGCTATGGGTTAATTAGTAAGAATTGTATTACTAAATCATTGTCTCAAAAAAAAAAAAAAAAAAAAATTTCTTAAAATCTAAAAATATATATATTGATAAGCCGTAGAAAACGAATCAAGCAGCACACACACAGCTTATGGAATCCACCTCTTCTTCCCCAAGCTATGGGTTAACTAATAAAACTTGTATCGATAAACCATTATTATCTGAAAAAAATTGTTACAATTTAAAAATATTTTCTGGCTTTAAATAACCTGCAAAGATTTGATAAGCCGTAGAAAACGAATCAATTAAACAAAATAAAAACATTGCCATGAACTTATTTTAAGTGAGACATGAATGTCACCAGAAAGATAAAGGACATTTTTTTTGAGATCACACATGACTCCCCCAGCACCAAGAAAAAGCAATTGAGATTTCTCATTTATAATGTTTTCATGAACTTGGAAACTATTCGAACTCATATTCACTTTTGGTCATTCTAAATGTTCATGGTTTTTTTTTTTTTTTTTTATATTCAAAATCTTAACTAAAACACATTTAAGAAACGAGTTATATTTTAAAATTTTTTTGTTGTTGATCGCAATACGAAAAGGAATTATGCATAAAAAAATATGAAAGAATAAGTTACCGCCCCCCCTAAAACTCAGAATTAAATTTTTCGCTAAAAGATTCGAGTGATACTGATCAGTCTGGTAAATTCCGTACGTAAGACACACTCAGACGATCATGTCTCTTTCGCTTCACGACTGAGTAGGCAGAAGATTTCTCCACACTAGGTTGTCGTTTCTTTCTTTAACCAAGCCTATAGAACCCAGTCTTTCCTATTATTTAACCCATAGCTGGGAGGAGAAGAGATGGATTCATACATTTGCCCAAGGGCATTTGCGCATAAGTGAATGTAACGAACCCGACTGGAATTCGAACTCGGTTCACCGATTTCTCAATCCGAGCTTTTATCCATTATCATTGGTTTACCACACGTCCCAGTGATATATAACAGGTTTGTCGCCAGAGTGGAGAGTAAGAATTTTCACACTACAAATAGTAGTTGACACCCTTTTCGTAGATGGGGGCCAAATGACTTTCGGAGAGCACCAAGCCTGGATATAAGTATAATTCTTATCTTTCTGTTTACGAGTGTTGGTCAGCCCTGCAGCTCTAGGGCTGTTGGATCATGAAAACAATTATATGAGAAATCGAAACCAAAAGTTAAAAACAATTCCTGTCTGAAGCGTGATAATTAGACAAAATGCTTTTGATATGACACGACAGAGACGGATGTGTAGCAATGCAGAAAAATAAAATCATCCTGTTCACATTCCTCCCCTGTCTTTTCAACAAGGTTTATTCCTTGTTTCCTGTTTAGGATTGAGTTTTAGGGTTCCTTCTAAAGTCTACTTCAACTCTATACTTCTAACGTCTCTGATTGAGCTCAGAAATTTTAATCACTATTTTTTCCTTCTCTACTAATAGGAGTAAATAGGTTTCCTTATCGAGTTGTTCACATTTCTCCCCGGTCTTTTGAACATAAGTACATGTTATCCCTTGTCCCCTATTTAAGATTGAGTTTCCGGATCCTTCTAAAGTCTAATTCTATAATTCCGCTTAAACTCTGAAATTTTATTTACTATTTATTTACCCTCCCCACTACCTGTTTAATATGAGTAGATAGGTTCACTTATTGTCCAGTCTATACTTCTCTCTGGTCTTTTGAACAGGGGTAGAGATTTTTATATCCTGGGGTGTTTTGTAGGTCCCCTGTGGTATTGTGGTATATGCGGGATCGAGTGGTAAGGGATGGGTTCTTGTGCTAAATAGATAAATTGTATTGGATGAGTCGTGATTGTGATTAACTAGGACTAGGAAAGTTAGCGAAGACCAGCCTTTCGCCACTTCCCCTTTGGCTTTGTGCCACAATCATTGTATTTTTTACATTAATAAATATTTGAACAGATGTAGAGGTTTATCCTTGGTTTTCCCGCTCCTTTTAAAGCGTTTTCCTTCTTTTTCACTTCCGATAAACCCCTCGTTTAGGATGAATAGATTTAAAAAGTAATAATTAAAAATACAACTCCCATCCTAAAAAATTCAGTAAAAACGAAAAGAAGTACTTCGTTTAAGGTTTTTTTTTTTTTTACGGTTAAGAATTTTTGTTTTCTGTTTTCTGGCCAGAATTTAAGCATAAAATGTCCAATATTTTCTGAATGCGTTCATAAACCATTATTAAACAATTTCGTGTGCTGACTGAAATCTGTCTGCAAGCGATCTTTGTGTTACTTTGGCAATTTACGGGTGTCGTATCCTCATGCCAAGGTCGGTTGAAAGCCGAAAACACTCAGAAGACATTGAACAATTTTTATTCGAATTCTCTCGGTAAAAGAAACAAAAATGCTCCAAACGGTAGAACTGTTGGTCAAATTTTACTATTAGGTTGGTACAAAAAATAATGTCGTTTTTTAACGTTAAGTTGAACGTCAAAAAACGACATTACTTCTGCACCAACCTAATATTACACTAGTCTTTCCTTAGAAATGGAAGAACTCGACCAGAAATTTGAAAAAAAATTTAAAAAAATAAAAAATAAAGAAAATTAAATATCTCCAAAACAGTTAATTTGCGAAGATTTGTGTATATTGTAAAATTGCCTTAGGATATCGACATCTGCTTAAAGAACAGGAGATAAAATTAGGAGATGAGACGAGTGTAACAGTAAAATATATAATACCGAAATGTTACATAGAAAATATTAAACAAAAACTTTCGTTTAAATATGGAAAACTGTTCCTGTTCGAAGCTTGTAAATTAAGGTAAGCCTCAATCAAAAGTATTCTTTTAGAGGACAGGACAATATTCGAGGTGTGTCGTAATAACGCTGAAAAATAACCAACCACACAAAGAAAAAAACAAAAAAACATTAGAAATGAAAACCTGTACTTACAATAATTTCAATACCGAAGTTTTCTACATCTGACCGACAAGATTACATTGACGATTAAGGTTTGAATGTGTGACTATACTTTACGTAAAAGATAGGAAAATGAAAACTGCGGCATGAATGTCCAAAGGAATATTTAAAGACTGGGGAAAGGCTTTGGTTTTCACCGTTAACTTTGCTCGTTGCTTTCATTAACCAAATCACACAACAATATTATTTCTCAGTTTTCGAACCGGGATCAAAACGTAGAATCTGCAGTCCTCATTTTAGACGTGACTAGCAGTAGAGCCCGGCGTTGCACGGGGATGTAACAGTAAGAGATAGATCAAGTATCGACCATCATAAAGACTGAAAAATAAAATTGACAAAGATTATTGTTTAAGGTTGACGGACACGCATGTCTTAATTATTTTTTTTTGTTTTTACGAATTGGTCAGACCCAAACGCAAACAAAAACATTGTTTTCAGTCATTATGAGTCTACCGATTGAATAGAATTTTATTATAAACAATTGTCTTGTAAATGGAATTTTTAAAGCATTGTGAATGTAAAAATAAAAAAAAGTGAAGTTTTGTTGAAATCGGTTGAAAGATGTAGGAAATCCGATCCCATATATAAAGGAACACACACACACACACACACACACACACACACACACACACACACACACACAACCTGGGTTTTATAAGTATGAGTTGTCCCCCTTTCATTCTCGCAATGCCTCTTAATTGTGTTTTCAAATTGATTTTGTGCAAAAACAATTGTTTTTCCAATTTTTGGCGCTGTCAGAACCACCGCAAAGTAATTTTACGTAGTCCTGTGAAGTTTTGTTGAAATCGGTTGAAAAATGTAGGAAATCCGATCCAATATATAAACGTACAGACACACACACACAACCTGGGTTTTATAATAAGTATGATAAGGCGCCTGGACCTGAGGAATTCCAGACTCGCTTCAGCACCTTCCCCCATTACATTAAGAGAAGTAGCCTCGCCAGGGTGACAGTGGTCGCGGGAACTCGGCAATTTTTGTCCTTGGCCCATATGTACACGTATGTGCTCCCCATATAAGAAGGCCTTATGCCACATCGTGGCGAGGTGTTATCAGATAAATAACATCATATCTTATTTTATTTATTACAACACAGTGTCTATACTGTGTTGTCTTCGTTTCATAAGGTAATGCGCTCCCGTACAAGTCCCAGGTTCATTTCAGTCTGCACAATGTGCCAACATTTCCTGATGAAGTCTTTATTGCCATCGATGTGGTCAAATTTATCACAGACCATCGCATCAGTGAACTGGAAACCAAACTCTAGTGTTATAATAGATTTTTTTTCCTATCGTGTTATTCGCTTGGCCATTGTGTAATGGCGCCGTTCATGGCCGAGTCGGTCTAAATCACGCCGGATCGAGCACCAATTTCTCCTGCAAAGAGGAACGGAGGCCCCAGTCCTGTTGAAATGTGCATGTTTTTTTAATAAGATTTCTTGGATATTCTGGTTGGTAAACGAAAATATAGTATATACTGTTTAAAATAAACGGGGCGTCTACTCAAATATGGTCATTCACGAAACATAACATTTAAAGTGATATACTGGGTGTAACAACAAAATTGTCCAAATCGGGTAATAGCTTAATTATCCATCCCGAAAAATGATTTATACCTACCCCTACCCCCAAAAAACAGAAAAA